CAAACTTTCAGGGTGTGCTAAGTTCTCCGAGTTGTATAACATATAAATCGGGTTTTTTGAGGTCACTGACCTGAGGTCAGTTAGAGGTCATTACGTCGTAATGTTAAGCCTATGGGAAAATACTAAATTCGGAAAATACTGGAGATATCTACTTCGTTCTATCACTTTTGTGCTTTGAAACCACAGTACTTAACAGCAGGTCACTTGGTGCTCCTTTGTTTGGTGTACTTATCCATGGGTCAGGTCAAATGAGGTCAACTGAGGTCAAATGACGTTTTTGCCAATAACTTGGCACATAATGACGCTACAGCTTAAGAAAATGGTGTCATTGTGTTCCTGGTGATCAGCCGAATCGAATGATATGCGGTATGATGCAATTTGGGTAACGTGAACTTAATTGATTAATTAAAGTTTACTTAAAAATTAAGAAAAACTTCAAGTACACTTAAGCAAGCTAAAAAGTATATCATTCGACGCACCTTGACGTCCTGAGTTCACTGGTGCTTTTCTTTTTGCTCTATCTTAACCCGCTCACCGACGGGGGTCTGCGCCAACTTCGCACCGACGGGGGGGCGGATGACCGCCCCCTCCCGTCAAATGACCGCCCCCCTGAGATCTCGAGAACGAAGCAAGATAGCGACAAGCGGTAAAAGGCAAGGGATACGCACGGACAAGGTCTACAATTTTTACAAAGGTCATTTTCAGGTCAGGTCAAAGATGACGTCACAGGGGTCAAAAAAGTCAAAATGGCGGCGCTAGGTATGGAGTGAATTTTCTCGAATAACTTTCGAACTAGTCAATATAGGAACAAACTAAGGGTAGCATCGTGATCCTCTCGTCAATCCGCATCGAATGATATATATGTTGACCTCGAAAGGTCAAGGTCAAAGGTTGGCCTCAGGTCACGTGACCTCGAGGTCATCATGTATACCATTCGATGCGCCTTGACGAGCTGAACACAATGAGACCATCTGCGCGGCTTTATCTTGTTCCTGTACGGAGTTATTGTCAAAAACCGCTGGTGACCTTTGATGACGTCACATGACCTTACAGCTGCCCAACAGCAAAACAGACCTCAAGGTAGTGAAGGTTGATCGTATATGAGGTCATGTATGGTTTATGGGGCCATTCCGACCCGTTTTAGTGGTAAAAACAGGGAGTTGATTTTTCCCCCATTGACTTATAATGGGGAGGTCGAGAAATTGACCTGACCTTAAGTCACCGATATCAAAATTCCGAGATATACACATTGTAGCTACTAATGACCTAATAACATCCTGCGACTTTCAAAGGCCTCCGACATCTACTGCAGCTCTGGCACGGTGACAAAGTTGCAAAAAAGTGACTTGAGGTTGGGTCATTTAAAGTGACCTGGTGACCTGACCTTAAAAGTTAGGAGGTTCAAACTTGCACACCATGTGTAAAATTGATGAGAGAATAGTCGTACCAAATTTCGCGGCGCTACGCGCCGCAGTTTTCCCGCTATTTGCGAAAAACCTCAGGGGAGGCGGATATCCGCCCCCCGTCGGTGCGCGGGTTAATTAGATCAAAAGTTATAAGCGAAAACTTTTGACCTGTTTTTAGCGAAATTTTTACATTTATACCCCCCAAAACCCCCCTAAATATTGACCTAGAGCAACCAAATTTGCACAGGGGCGAGAACTCCGGGGGCCCACCTACCTACCAAATTTGGTGTTTCTAGGTGCCATAGGAGCCAATCGCGGGGGGGGGGTCGCATCGACCCCCCCCCCCTGCCAGGCCGTGTTATGAAAAATGCCCTGCCAGGGCGAGGGTTAATATTCATACATGAAACTTTAATCCAAATCTGAATTTGGTTAACAAATTGTTCTCTGATTGCTTTCTGCTATCTCCCATACAACTTTTCGTCTCCAATCTTGCTTTATCATAATGTGACACAGAAATGAGTCCTAAATCATTGCATGCACTCTGGAACTGCGGATACTCAAAATTCAGCGGAAAATGGCGATGACTGGTTTGGCTTTGTGCAGCAGCTACCGCGCACAGCCCGCACCGGAGCCTGTCGGGGGATCAGCGGCTTTCACGGGGATCGGGGTCCGGTGGCGAGTGGTCCGATAGCTCGTGGCCGGCTGACAGGCGGCAGCCGGGTGCGTGCGGATCACCGGATCAGGCGCACTTCACTCGCATGCCGCCGCACCGCGCGGCCTGCAGTTCCGCGAACTGGGCTCTGAGCGGCGCGGCGGACCGACCGGGGGGCGCTGGGGTCGAGGTCAGGCCAGAAGGAGTGCTCTGCCGGTCCCCGGATCGGCTGTCGATGGGCCAGTCCTGTCTGCAGGGACGGTTCCGGGGTCAATGAGAACGCTGACCGGTCGGCAAGAACTGGGCCTGCAGAGAACTCACTTAGAAACTGTGCTAGATATAACGAGATCAGCCTCTGCACTCGAAGTGTTGAAAGCGTTGGCAAGGATTCGCTTTTTCGAGGAGAGTTATTGCGGTCCCGCAAGCCATTCAGTATTGCAAGATGAATACGCCTTCTTAATTATTCTTATTATCTCTTACCCATATAATAAAACTATCGCATTTATGTTAACATATACCTACTTCATTTTCGACCGAGAAAAGGCAAAGCTTGAGTGAGTACCCTGTGTTTTTAAACGTTTTTTTTCTAAACAATCGATGTTATGTTGTATTGACCAAAAATATACATATATTGATGCAGCCTTCAATAGCCTGCAAGGAAGCATGTTGCCTCAGCAAATTTATTACTCACCTGGTGTTTCTGATGTTTCTGTGCAGTCTCTGCCAATTTGTTTACTAAAGAACGATTCACCTTGTTGCCAGGAGTTCCACATTCCTGCACCTCCGGTCGGGCGGTACGACCACGATACAGAGGCGACGGCAGACCGGTACTGATATCACCGCCATCGAAGGGCGCCGCCGACTGCACAGCTTGGTTAATGGGAAACACCGAGAAACCCACACAGTCTGACACAACAGCATTCAGCAGTCACGACAGCCGAGCAAACCACCGCCAGATACTTGGTAACATGACGGGTTCTTTACTAAAACTCGACAGAGGTGAGATGACGTTCATCGCCCGCGGGTGTCATCCGGCACATTTCAGAGATTCCGTGCTCTGTTTTACAGCAGTGCTGTAGCGTAAATGGTGATTAAATGTGCAATAACAGTGAACATTTACATTATATGCTAATTTCAAACAAAACTTTGAGGTAATTCATGAACATGATTACGTCTAGAAACGCGATGGTTATGCGGTGATTTGACACATAAGCTACAGAATAAACGGCCAGAAAATCCGTGCTCATCACAAACGAACAAAGTAACATTAAATTATAGCTTTACTGCACCGTAGGCGTGCTCATCTAATTATGAAATTGCAGACCTGTAAAGCATGTCAAACTATGCAGAGCGCTGGGCCCGCGTCCCTACAATCGTGCACCGTCTGAGGGCTCAATTTGGCCGCGTTTTCTCCTAATCATGGCATTTAACCATACGTGTGACAGGCGGGCCGAGTGTGGAGGCGGCACCGCTGATGGCCTGATACGTCCAGCGCGAGCCCCATTTGCCACACTATTTGGCACTAATTAAAAACACATTTGCCCAGCACCCATTACACTGGTCGGCGCTGCTTTTGTACACAACGGATTGAGCCGATAGACCGATAGTATCGGGACGGCCCGGCCGGTAATGGCAGTGCCGAAACAAGGCCCTGATGAGCACTCACGCTCACGTAATTACCGAGCCACCGGCGTGCCTGTGCGCACATGTGCGCGCACCGACGCCGCCCCGCTAACAGGGCGCCAATAAAATTGCTAATGCGATTTTTCGACGGCCTCTTGCAGCCCGAGTCTGCGGGAGGGACAGTGACACATGGCCGACAAAACCGATAAACCGCTGTTTGGTGATTATGTCGACGACGGTGGCACAGTGAGGCAAGAGCAAGCGATAGCTGTAGCGAGTGAGCAACAGCGGGCGAGCGGCTTATCAAATGTAGCCAGCAGTCCCTGATGGCTGCCAGTCAGTCGTCAGTCACGGGTCCGCAGTCACAGACATATAGCTGCTTGCCGCTGGACACAGACAGACAGTCGCCACCCACAGGCCGCTGGTCATTAGACCCTCTCTAGCCGCTATACTTATAGCCACTAGCCACAGGCCGCTATCCACAGGCCGCCAGTTGATAACACCCCCAAGCCGCTAGCCGCTAGCAAGAGACCGCCAGAAACTTGTGC